TGTTGTGAAGGGGGAGGGTTTACATGTTTTGCTTTTCCTCATTGTGGTCACGCCGTGATCCACCTTAAGCCGCTGATTTAGTCCTGCTTGATGCAGGACATAGGGCCACGCCGTCCGAAGCGTTAATGAGCAGTGGCATGAGAGCAGCGCTGATTTATATCTTTTCAGGTTCAAGCAGAATGATGTGCAACCAAGTGGTATTCGTTTATGATGACTGGGTTTGGGAAAAAGGCTTATTTCATGAAATCAGTGATAAAATTATCATTTGTACATTTTCAAAAGTTTAATTACAGAAAAATTGGAAAAATATTTATTTCAACAGGTTCGTAATGTAATATCCTATCGATTGGCGTATTTGGATTTTAATTTCATCTATAAATGACAAAGTTACAAGCGTTCAAAACCTAACACTCCTTCACCACACATATTTTTTGACTTGCACCCCAGTATAGTCGACAAAGACGTAGTTCTACGTCAAAAACATAGTTTAGTACTCGGTTTAGTACTGGAATTTATACTAGAATTTATTTATTTATTTATTCGTCAATCAATCAAATCGTAGACTACATATTAACATTAGGACTTATGTTCTATGACTTCACAGGGTTCTGAAATATATTTTTAATTCTGTTGAGGGCATATAGGCCCAAGGACGTTTATATAAGGTCTGGGCCAAAGGGGTTATTGGTGTTAGTGAAATGAGCAATTGTTTAGTGGTGTTCGTATTTTATTGCAATGTTTATCTTTTTACACGAAACAGCTGTTGGCAGTGACGTATTTCTATCTGTTCTCAGTATGTTGGCAGTGACGTATTTCTATCTGTTCGCAGATGTTCAGCAATGTTTACAACATTTTTGCTTCTAATACCAGCAAGCTGCCTGTTGGCCCAGACCTTATATAAATGTCATTGATATAGGTCAATCATTTCACAATGATGATTATAAACAGTCATCATCTGATTTACCGGTCCAAATTTAGCGTAATTGGTCCGATGGCGATCTACTGCGAACAACCAACAATCAATACGAAACTAACGATTTTAAATTGTCTCACCACTTTAGTAGCCTATTGGGTCCAAGCAAACGATTAACGTACCCTATTCTAGTTGAAATTCTATTACTACACTATGTTTGTTTTGATTCGCTATGAAAGTTTGACAGATAACATCAGGGGTGTGTGGATTCATGCAGAACATGCAGGGGTGAGTGAAATAGCTTGGGACTGCTTGGGACCTTTGTTCTGGTACTGAGTGAGCCAAAAATAATAATGATTTTCTTCGGGACCCAGTGGTCTTAGAGTTACCTCTATGGAACAACTGTCGATTGCGTAATTGTCGGGAAGGTGCATACAAATTTAACCTTGACAATAGATCAACTGAGTCAATGCGTTGAGAAATTGTATTGTTTAATAAAGAAATCTTTGCGTAATCGCGACGTTCTTTTAATGTTTGAATGCTGATCAGCAAGCAGCGTGCTTCATATGATGGGAGAGGAAAAGCCGTCCAACCTAACTTACGTAGTGCATATAATAAAAATTGCATTTGAATTGACTCTATTCGTTCCTCATGCTTTTTCATATAGGGTGACCAAACAATGCTACAATATTCTAAAATTGACCTCACACAAGCAACGTAAAGTGATTTAATTGTATAAGGATATTTAAAGTGGAGACCGAAACGTTTTATAAAATTAAGCATATTGCCTGCTCTATGTTACGCTAGGCTGTGGTGCTCAGATGGCAAGGCAAGCGGCTGGTGATCGGAAGGTTATGGTTCGAATCCCATATAATGACATGTGTGTGTATGTATGTATATGTAATAAATTCGACAGACATAATGACACAACAATCACTAACGAGAACAACCCTGCTCTGTGCCGTTCTTATTTTCGGATTAATTATCCCGTAGTTGAATAATCGTTTAATAAATGTATAATAATGTCTAATTAAACATTAAGTACACATGAGATTCAAGCGTCTATATACACCTTTATACCATAGAGGTAACTCTAAGACCACCGGGTCCCGAAGAAAATCATTATTATTTTTGGCTCACTCAGGACCAGAACAACGGTCCCAAGCAGTCCCAAGCTATTTCACTCACCCCTTCATGTTCTGCATGAATCCACACACCCCTGATGTTATCTGTCAAACTTTCATAGCGAATCAAAACAAACATAGTGTAGTAATAGAATTTCAACTAGAATAGGGTACGTTAATCGTTTGCTTGGGACCAATAGGCTACTAAAGTGGTGAGCCAATTTAAAATCGTTAGTTTCGTATTGATTGTTGTTTATACCATCGTTAAACAACAGGAAGTAAAGATGGTCTAATAAACGCTGAAGAATCAAAAATTTGATCGAATAAGCTCTTGTAAGTCGAATAAAAGCTTCTCGACATACCTTATTCAACACCAAAATATATCGATGTTGTGGTTGAATAAAGCCTGAACAGAAGTTATTATTAAAAATAGTACAAGTATTATTAAGCATGAAGTGGAATAAAATCGTCAAGAAGTCGTTTCTTCAATAGGCAATTGTTTGTTGGGTATCTGAAAATTTCGTGTATGTTTCTTGAAAAAAATTGGTGAAAAGATTACATTTATCATCAGAATTATTACCATAGAGGTAACTCTAAGACTAGTAGGTCCTGAAGAAACGTGCTCAACTTTTTGGCTAAGCTCTGGTACTATCTTCGGTCCCAAGCTAATCGATTCACCCCTCGAAACATAGGAAAAACCAATAACCCCTCATTTTATCTGTCATACTTTCATAGCGAATCAAAACAAACATTGGGTAGTACTAGAATTTCGACTAGAATGGGGTACGTTAATCGTTTGCTTGGGACCAATAGGCTAGTCAAGTAGTGAGCCAATTTAAAATCGTTATTTCGTATTGATTGTTGTTATTACCTTCCTTTTGATCCAATGTCATTTTTGATGGAAACCTGCACGATTTTATTTTAGTTTTGACGTAATTGAAGAAGTTTCTTGGACATGATTTAATTTCATTCTCAGTTTTTATGTTATACTCAGACAGTGCCAAAGAAATTCCATCATTAAGTTGATCACAAATACTTAAATACTTTTCGAGATTATCACGATTTTTATGTTTTCTGTATATTTTGTGAGCTTTTTGTTTACGATTTTTCAAGTTAATGACATGATTGATCCAAACCGGATGTTTGGAGAAATAATTGCATCGTCTCCTTTTTAATGGAATTTCCTCGTAAATTACGTCAAATAGAATTTTATAAAAAACCTTCACTGCACATTCAACATTTACCTGATCCTTCAAAATGGTTTTCCAATTTAGTCCACTGAATTTATTTTTAATATTATCATAATTAGCATTTTTGTAGTCGAACACATTTTCATACTCACTGTTGTTGGGGTGTTGACTGTCATGAACAAATATGGAATACTCGATTGCTGTGTGAAATGCTTCATTCTTCCATAAAGGAGAAATAGATTACTTACACAAAAATCTTCATGTATATTCGTCTCGATATTCGTTAACAAGAAATCTAGGAAACAATTCTGTTGGTTTCTTACATGGTTTAATGGGGTACGTTAGTCGATTTGCTTGGGATCAATAGGCTAGTCAAGAAGTGAGCGAATTTAAAATCGTTAGTTTCGTGTTGATTGTTGGTTCCACCTCGCGTTCCACTGCATCAGCAATAATATTTTTGACGAGATTTTTTAGCGCTTTTGATAGATTTTCTCCTATATCGACCTTGTTTCCATTACCAACTGTTCGATCCCTCGTGGGGATTTGTTTTTTGTTTACCTTTTTCGTAACGCCTCGCTCGCCGCGATCGAAGTGTCAACAGTTGTTGCGACCAAGGTCACCTTGGATTATGAACAGTTCAGCTGGAAGTGCAGAAGATTAGGATATCAAATTGTGAATAGTGTTCGGAAAAGTGGTACATTGAGATTTAATTAAACTTTCCTGATTGAGGTAAGTTGTTCGAAAGCTGAGGAAACTGAAATTCAAGGAATTCGATTGTGGGACGCGTGAGAATTTCAAATTTTCGATTGTAGTATTAAAAGAATATCAAAATGATCAGTAAGGGGTGTCGTCTCCTTCGCCTTGCACTAGATTTCGGATATTATTGCGCTTCGCGTGAGTGTGAGACGGCTAGAATTCGCAAATAAACAAAATTAAATGATCTCAATTGGATGTGATGCGTGATTGCGTGCGTTAAAATATATTTTGTCTGGCAGTTCATTATTCGGTATTTTTGCAACGATCGTTTGAACAGCACGTGCGCTATTTTCGTCCTTCGGTGTTCAGTCCCAGCATCTGCTGATCTCTCCATGATGGGTTCGAGGCGTACAAAATGAAATTTTAACATCATAGAGTTGTACATAATGCTGTTGGAATGTCTACAACCTAAGAAGAATGCCACGGAATGATCTTCCGTGCGAAGATCACGCGTCGTTCCTTATTGAGCGGAACCATTTGGCGGGGTCGAGGTCATGTGCTCGTTTGGGTTCAATACTGAACATCTACAACGACGCGCGAATTTTGGACTCGTGCCAACCAACGAATAACAAGTGGTCGTCCGTCGCGAGCAAGGCGATCCGGCTCAAGCGACAATCAGCTGGTTAAGCGGATCGATTTTCTCTGTTTTTAATTAGACGGTTGTTTGTAAACTGTGTTCTTATTTTTTGTTTTGGTTTGGATGATTATCAGATCATGCAATCAACTGTTTAATTCTGCTTTTTCATGAGTGTACCAGGAGCACAGCTGAACACATTTGAATTGAACACGTGTTAGGTACAATCTTAAAACAGTACCACAGCATTTGAAGTTCTCCCATCCTTTATCACTCTCGCTCCTGCTCACGCTTGTGTGTTTTTATTGATTTGGGCATTGAACAAAAAATACAAGCGACCTGCTGCCGGGTTTTGTTTGGACTTGCTTATCAAGTCGACCCGAGCTGCATTGAAAGGCCATCATTCCATTATAGAAAGACAATCAGCGCCCGGCTCCAGGTTTTCAGTTATTCGCCTGCACGGGTACCAGCAGGTTGTGCGTTAACGGTTTTTCGTTGGAGTAGCTCGTGAATTCACCAATTGCAATTTTTCTTGTCGTTTAAAAGTTTGCGTTTCTTACCAGATTTAAAAATGTTCAAAAAGATGGGGTCCTTTCTTTCCTTTGAGGTAGCTTGGTTTAAACTCGTAGCGACGGTGATTTTAATTGGATTGTCAAGTTATTAAAATCATTTTCCATCGTATCAAATTTCCAGAAACTGCCTAAGGTATCCGAGCAGAAGAAGAAGATGGCCGAGCAAAACGGATCGATTAAGTTGGCGATCCACCACGATGATCAAGGCAAGGGGACCCTCTACCGGTTGAAGAAGAACTCGATGGTGCACGTCCATCCGGGGCCGTCTCTGCTCGGTCGTCGCGTGGCAATCTTCTGCAACTATCCAGCTGACGGTGAGTATCCCGGTTCAAGTGTGAAATAACGTTTGACCTTGGAAGGTCATTTTTCTTGCGTGGGAAATGGAGTCGAATCTGTTTCATAATAGCCTACAACTGGACCGATAAGGATTGTTAGGGATCATCCATAAATGACGTTGTTGATTTTAAACCATTTGTAGATCCCCCGTCTTCCCTAGTAGCGTATTTTGCTATAATTATCCCCCCCCCCATCCTCCTTCTCAAATGCTACGTCATTTATGCGTGTTCCCTTATTAGTGACGAGTAAGATGCTGTGCAGTACCTAACCGAGTGGAAGTGTGCAGTGAGCATTATTTATTTAATCAAAATGTTGAACAATCTTGGCGCCATTAACGGAGATGAACTTGAAACAACTGCAAACTCGATTGATTTTTTTTTTAGCTTTTACATTATCAACTCTTACATTTCCTCCGTTCTTCCCGTCCCACAGGAAAGGAATTCGACCGCAATCGGTACATCCAGCTGAAATGGTTCTCACCCACGGGAACTCAGCTGGACACGGACGGGTCCAAGTACCTCTCGATCCGGGACATCGATTACTACTGCAACGTTCACCTGACCCGTTCCGGAGCGTACCACTTCTACATCCTGTACGAAGGCCAGCAAGACCCCCAAGCCGGTCTGTACGTACAAGTCGAACCGACGCTGACCATTGGCAAAGGCCCTGCCGCAGCAAATCTCCCACTGGAGGCCATCCGCTGTCAGACGGTCATTTCCAAGCTTTTGGGGCCGGTCCAAACCTGGGAGGCAAAGCTGCAGGTGGCCAAGGAGAGCGGCTACAACATGATCCATTTCACTCCGATTCAAGAACTAGGTGGATCGAGATCTGCCTATTCACTTAAGAACCAGTTGGCGGTGAATCCGGAATTCCAGAATGGAGACCACCCGGTCAAGTTTGACGATGTGGAAAAAGTCATCAAGAAAATGCGCGATGATTGGGGAATCGTATCGATTTGTGATATCGTGCTGAATCACACTGCCAACGAGTCGATCTGGATCCGAGAGTATGCGGAGTGCAGTTACAACTGTTTCACGTCTCCCCATCTGAGACCGGCCTTTTTGTTGGATGCTTTGTTGGCACGAGTCGGAGAGGACGTGGCCGCTGGACTGCTCGAGCACGTAGGCGTTCCAAAGGTGGTAGAAACGAACGACCATCTGCAGGCAATCCGTTGGCAGGTTCATTCAAGCTACCTACCGCAGATCAAGCTGTACGAGCTGTATCAGTGTGACGTGGACAAGTACATTGCCCGGTTCAACGATGAGGCATCCAAGCAAAGTCCTACTCCGGCGCAGGAAGTTCCCGAGGGGGATCTCAAGCTTAAACACGACCCTGAATATCGGCGTTTGGGAGCACAGGTGGACTTTGCTCGTGCTATGAAGACCTTCAACGTATTTCGGCAGGACTGCTTCGACGAGGACAGTCGGAAGCGCAAGTGCACCGAAGCATTCCGAGGAAAGTTGCAGTGGCTGAACGAGGAAGTTCGGAAAGAGATTCAAGCTCACCTGGACTACGCCATTGAGAATTGCTTAGCCGGGACTCGTTACGAGCGAGTGCAGGCCGATGGACCGCAGGTCAAGGGCATATCTGTAAAGTATCCGCTGTTTATGAAGTACTTTACCCAACATGGCATCAAAGGCAAATCGTTGAAGGAAATTGAAGAGATGATGTACGGCGGAGCCGGTAAATTGTTCATGGCCCATAACGGGTGGGTCATCAACAGTGATCCGTTGAAGGATTTTGCTCGACCTCAGGAGGGAACAGGCAATGTTTACCTGAGGAGAGAGTTGATTGCTTGGGGCGATAGTGTGAAATTGCGGTACGGAGACAAACCGGAAGATAGTCCCTATTTGTGGAAGCATATGAAGGAGTACGTCGATACCACCGCGAGGATCTTCGATGGCGTCCGGTTGGACAATTGCCATTCAACTCCGTTGCACGTTGCGGAATACCTGCTCGACTCGGCTCGTAAGGTTAACCCGGAACTGTACGTCGTCGCGGAGTTGTTCACCAACTCGGATTACACGGATAATATTTTCGTCAACCGATTGGGCATCACTTCGTTGATTCGGGGTAAGGTTACTTGATTGATTGGTTGAGATTGGTACCTGCATTAATAGATTTGATGTTTTATGTTTTGTTCGACAGAGGCACTTTCGGCGTGGGACTCGCACGAGGAGGGCCGACTGGTGCACCGGTATGGAGGTGATCCGGTGGGAGCATTCTTCCCGTATCCGAAGCGCATCTTAGCTCCGAGCATCGCCCATGCACTGTTCATGGATCTCACGCACGACAATCCGTCGCCGGTGGAGAAGCGATCGATCTTCGATTTGATTCCGTCGGCCGGGTTGGTTTCGATGGCGTGCTGCGCTACGGGAAGCAATCGCGGGTACGACGAGCTGGTGCCGCATCATGTAAGTTTTGCTCTTTTGATGTGGTTGACGGTTCTGGTGGTTCCGTAATAGGTTTTATAACGCAGTTTAAAATGATGAATAACAGTTGCACACAATATCTAACCATTCGACTAAATTGTTTTTACCAGATCCATGTCGTCGACGAGGAACGCCAGTACCAGGAATGGGGTAAGCACGTCGACAAAACAACCGGCATCGTTGCGGTGAAGGAAGCATTCAACCTGCTGCACGGTGGCCTGTCTACTCGCGGTTTCGATCAACTGTTTGTCGATCAAATGAATCCGGACATCGTGGCCGTAACGCGCCATTCGACCCAGAATCACGAGACGGTTATCCTGGTTGCGCACACCGCCTTCAGCTACCCGAGCCCATGGGCCGGACCGACAGGAGTTCGCCCGCTGCGTTTCGAGGGAGATCTGCTGGAGATTATCTTCGAGGTGCAGATTTATAAGAAGTAGGTCGTTTGGAAGAAGTTATGAACACTGAACACTAATCGATATTCGATTTCTTTTGATAGAACGGGTCAAACGTTCGACCAGCCCACGGAGTTCAAGAAGGATGAGCACTACATCAATGGCGTAAAGGAGTATGTGGTTGATCTGCGCAAGAATCTCAAACTGGAAGAGTCGGACATCTTCCGTAAGCAGGCCACCATCGATGGCAATACGACGCAGCTGGATTTTGTCAATCTGAAGCCCGGATCGGTGGTGGCTGTGCGCGTTGCTCTCAAGGACAACATGAAACCGCACTTTGATAATTTGCACTCGCTGGTACGGGAAATGCATCAGGATAAGGGTTCCCGGTACGCCGAGCTGCAGCATATGCTGTCCAAGTTGGATTTGGTCGATTTTAACAATTTGCTGTACTGTTGCGCCGAGGAGGAACGCGATAACGGTGGCGGTCCGTACACTATTTCCGGTTATGGCGATTTGGTGTACTGCGGACTACAGGGTGTCGTTTCGATCCTGAGCGATATCGGACCGAACAATGACCTGGGCCACCCGTTGGCGAATAACCTGAGAATGGGAAACTGGTTGATCGGTAAGCTTGGTAGGGTTAAATGACGTTTGTAAAATTTTCTAAAAAACTGATTCCCAACAGATTACTGCTCACAGCGTTTGCTAAAATACTCGAAGCTGGTTCCGGTAGCCACCTGGTTGGAGAAGAACCTAGCTCCTCTGAAGGAAATCCCCCGGTACATGATCCCCAGCTATTTCGATGTGATCATCACTGGAGTGCACCGTTTGGCCGTTAACGCCGCTTGCCAACTGATGACGGACTTCGTCCGACATGGTTCCAACTTCGGTCGTCGCCTTGCTCTAGGATCGGTTCAGTGCGTTCGGGTTGCTCCGTCGGCCAACCTTCCGGCCTTGAGTCCCAATATCACTCCCCCAAAGCCTCCGCAAAGGTGTTCCACTCTGGCTGCTGGTCTGCCACACTTTGCAACCGGATACATGCGCTGCTGGGGTCGAGATACGTTCATTTCCTTGCGTGGACTCATGTTCCTGACCGGTAGATTCGACGAAGCTCGGTATATGATTCTTGGATTTGGACATTGTCTGCGACATGGACTGATTCCGAATCTCCTGGACGGAGGCATGAATGCTCGTTTCAACTGCCGTGATGCAGTCTGGTGGTGGTTGTACTGCGTCCGACAGTACGTCGAGGAAGCTCCCAATGGAAAGAACATCCTGAAGGACAAGGTCTCCCGGTTGTATCCGACGGATGATTCCGATGCAAAAATGCCCGGTGAATGCGTAAGTATTGCTAGAACAAGTTTTGAGGAGATCGTGCCGAGCAATGTGTTTCGTTTCTTTTCAGGATCAATTCTTGTACGAGACAATCCAGGAGGCCCTGGTGGTTCACTTCCAGGGGTTGTCCTACCGGGAACGTAATGCCGGTACCCGCATCGATGCGCACATGAAGGACAAAGGTTTCAACAATCGTATCGGCATCCACCCAGAGACGGGTTTCGTCTTCGGAGGTAACAATGCCAATTGCGGTACCTGGATGGACAAGATGGGCTCTAGTGATAAGTCTGGGAATCGGGGAGTTCCGTCGTCTCCTAGGGATGGATCTGCGGTCGAGTTGGTCGGGCTACAGATGGCCGGATTGCGATTCATGCAACGAATGGCCGAGGAGAAGGTCATTCCGTTTAATTCGGTGGAACGTAAATCGAGCAATGGAACCAAGACTGTCTGGACTTACAAGCAGTGGGCCGATAAGATCGCCGCTAACTTTGAGAAAGAATTCTACGTAGACGAAAGCTGCGGTAGCCAGTATGTTAACAAGAAAGGAATGTACAAGGATACATTGGGTTCGGAGATTCCGTGGACCGATTACCAGTTGAGGTGCAACTTCCCGATTGCTCTGGTTGCGGCACCGGAACTTTGCGATCCGAAGCACGCTTGGAGAGCGTTGGAAAACGCCAAAAAGTATCTGCTCGGTCCACTTGGTATGAAGACCCTGGACTGCGAGGACTGGGGCTATCGTGGTAATTACGACAACTCGATCGACAGCGATGACAAGACGGTAGCTCACGGAGCCAACTATCACAACGGTCCGGAGTGGGTTTGGCCCATTGGATTCTACCTACGCGCGAGGCTCATCTTCGCCAAGGCTAATGGCCTGCTCAAGGAAACGATCGCCGAAACGTGGTCTATCCTGCAGAAGCATCTGCACGAAGTTCAGACCAATCACTGGCGTGGTCTCGCCGAGTTGACCAATGAAAATGGAGCTTACTGTAACGATTCCTGTCGGACGCAAGCCTGGAGTATGGGCTGCGTGCTGGAAGTGTTGCATGACCTGGAAAAGTATGAAAAAGAGCTCTAAGCTCTGTCACTAGCCATGAAGCCTCGAGGGGAATTTAAATCAAATTGAAATGCTCGAATTTAGTCGAAGACGTCACTCGGCGCACTAATCGCCCCCTTCTGATAGGGTTTTAGCTTTAATTGTTTATGTTTTGTGTCTGCTGTTTTCGATTTTGGATATTTTATTTATCAGTTAAGTTTGAAAAGTCTATATTTTATTTCGTGTTGCATGCAGCTTTTAGGATTATGTGCCACGCTGTCGGGAACCGAGAAAGGTGTGTTAAATTGTGAAATATCGCTCAATGGAGCTGTGTGCCGGCGCTCTGCAATTGAAAGCAGATTGCAGTTGTGGGAAATAAAACAAATGAATATTGCAGTGCCATGCATGAATAATTGGAATAAATTGATAAAAATTCACTGATAACTGGTTGGCGCTGGCGTTTGTTTGATTGTGAAATCCGAAACATGGCTTGATTGATAAAGAGAACACTTTTTGCATTGGTGGATGCTGCGTGATGTGGTGACTGAAAGACATGCCCTCAAAGGAGATTGGATTAATGGCTAATGGACTTAACGTTGGCTCTATTATTTTACGATTTTTCAAGACTTAAACGCATAGACCCAGGGAAATCGAGACTGGGAATGGAACCCATCGCCTTCAAAATCGCTGCCGCGACTTTAATGACTGGGCTAACGCGGTCAGATAAGGTCAATTTAGAAATCTATCACTATTTTTTTTATTGAGTTGGGAATAAAGGAGAAACATCTCTGACATCGATTCAAATGAAGGACGCAGTTTGCCCGGGCTTCACGGGCTAATTGCGTCCAACATTTGAATTGATATCATGGAGGCGCGTGGTCAACCATACTTTAAAGTATCTAATAAATCAGGCATAGTAGCGAGATTAGAGGCTGCCCATAAATGCAAAATTGGTAAAATTTCATCGAAGTCAGATGCGCATTAAATTGGTGTAATATAACGTCGTACGCCACAAATTCCCGAGCGATAAAATCGTCAGGAAATTTTTTTTTGTTGGCTCAGAGATTTTAACAATCTGGAAGATGTATGCTCACAGCACTTCAATAGCAACGATTTTGAAAATGTTTATATGGAAGGAGCTCGTCGGAAACTAATAAAAACAGGTAAGAACCAAATGTGCTTTCTTACTAGAATGACTGTTGCTAACTGTTCCATCTTTTAGCTGTGCTATCAATTCGAGAACCAGTTTCAGAAAAAAAGCTATGTCCGAGTGCGGAACTGATACAAAAACATGAGGCCGAGATTAAGGAAGTTGAGTCCCAACGCCACTTCAAGTATGTTCCGAGCGCTAGTTAACCTTTAATGCAATTCAACGGTGCATAGAGTCCCTCATGAACCAGGACAACGAGCAGCATGCCCAGAATTGTATAGAGGTAGGTATGGAAACGTACGATCTACCTGATTGGTCGGGCGAACGTATAGAAACGCGAGAATTTTTACAATATTTTCATATATTTTGACAGTCGATTGCGTTGTCTATAATGAGATAAAATTCCGCGAGAGAAGAAGAAGAACACGTCACAGAAAAAAATAAAGCCAGTTGTCTCCTCTTCCTCTTAGGTTGTGATGATAAATAATCTGTCATGTGATAGATAGAGATGTGACCCGATATATTAGAAATGTGATCGATATTATTCATTCAATTTAATCAAAAACCAATTGCTGTAAAAAAATACATTTCAGTCCACTTTTCTTGGAAAACCAACGGGTAGGTCACTCTACGCACCAATTGCGTGCCAATTATTTGTTCAGTGTGCCCAAGTGTGCCGATAGTGCCGGTAGCTCGCCTGGAGTGCCAGTCATCGTGCTGACTGCGTTTGTTTGTGAATTACGGATATTTTGGAATGCTTGGCAACCCGGTATTTCAGAACAGATTGAATGTTTTGGTTCGCAATTGCAAATAACAACAGAAAAAACCTGTACCAAGAAAATTGCTCATATTTCGATTATGTGCCACACACATAAATTTTTGCAATGTGATGTCACAAATAATATTTATGTGTGAGACACATAACATAACATTCATAGCAGCAGATTCCTCGTCATCCTTCGGGCTCGAATCCTTGGAAAGTTTCTCCCTAGTGTTCATCGGTACCTTCACTGGTTTGCACTGATCCATGTTGAACCGCTTCAAAATCGTTTCGATGTAGGCTTCTTGATCCAACGTTATCCTGTCAGTTGTTCTATCGATCCGGATCCCAAGACAGTGTTTCACAGGTCCCAGATCTTACATCCGGAAAGTATTGCTTAGCTGTTGCTTCAGCTTATTTTTCCATGTCTCGTCGTTGCTGAATATCATTAAATCGTCTACATAAATAGCAACAATAAGAATTTTGCCATTTTTAATGCAGGCCAAATCGCCGCATCCAGTTTGTGGTTACAAACTCGGCTGGACTGCTTCAAGTCGTACAACGCCTTGTTCAGCTTGCACACCTCGGTCTTCCTTCTTCCGTCAACGAGGCATGGGGACTGTTCCATGTATATTTCCTCGTCGAGGTCACCCTGCAGAAAAGCCGTCACTGCATCCAGCTGGTCGATCGTGAGGTCGTGCTTGACAGCCAGGGCGAAAAGATATCGCAGCAAACCATAGCGAACAACGGGAGCATACGTTTCATCGTAGTATACCCCCTTTCGCTATGAGTAGCCTTTGATGACCAGCCGCGCCTTGTGCCGTTGAACTCCTCCTGCAGCATCACGTTTCGTTTTGTACACCCATTTGCACTTGATTGCTTTCCTTCCCTTCGGTAGCTTGGTGAGAGTCCAGGTGTTATTGTCCACCAGTGCGTCGAACTCCTCTTGCATGGCACGTTTCCACGCATTGCTATCGTCCCGAGTCAATGCTTCTTGATGAGAAACGGGGTCGTCTTCGAAATCGCCATCCATGCCAGATGCTAATGCCACTAGATCGTCGTTGTCGCTCGGTCCACCAGTGCTATCGTCAACGGGGAAACCATGGAAGCCGTTCGATTCATCGGAGATTGGCTGTGAAAGTGAGACACTAGGAAGGCCAGTACTATCAACGTCGCAGAGGGAGCACAAGGTCAGTCAATGTGGATGTGTTGGTATCGTTATCGCCGCTTGAATCATCTGCTTCATGGTTCTCGTCTTCTATATCCGATTCACAAGGTTCGGTCGGTTCAATTGGAATGATCGGCTCGAATACGGTCTCGAACGGTTCCTCGACTTCCAGTCTGGCAAACGTGGCCTTGCTACGCCGCGCAACGGGACCTAAACCTTCAGATGGGACTCCTTCGTCCAGGAAAACGACTTCACGGCTCTTGATAGTTACCTTCTTCTTCGGATCGTATAGAAGATATCCTTTGGTTTCTTCATCGAATCCCGTCAGCACACATTCGTGGGATTTGGGGTCCCACTTGCGTCGTTTCTGCTTTGGAACCTGAACCATGGTTTTCGTTCCAAAAACACGAACATGTGAAAGGTTTGGTTTTCTTCCACTCCACGCTTCTTCGGGGGTCACACCATGACCACGGGTAGGTGATCGGTTGATCATATAAACAGCTGTTGACACAGTCTCGGCCCAGAAGCCTTTCGATAGCCTGGATTCGAATAGGAGACACCACGCTGTCTCCACGATGGTCCGATTGGCGCGCTCGGCCAATCCATTTTGCTCGAGAGTGTAATCGTTGGTCGTCTCGTGTCAGATGCCCTCTTTCTGCAAATAACCTTGGAAACCATTGTTCAGATACTCCCTACCATTGTTAGTTCGTATTGTTTTCAGCTTCTTGCCGCTTTGACGTTCGGCCATCACGTGGAAGTTCTTGAAAACTGCTAACACCTCGTTCTGATTTGGTTTTCAGGAAGTACACGAACATGCGTCTAGTTTTGTCTTCGATGAAAGTAATGTAGAACCGATTACCGCCAATCGAATTCATCTCCATCGGTCCACTGATTCCGAATGAACCATTTGTAACACCTCCGACGCACGGGATCCGCTTTTTGGAAACGGCAATTTCGACTGCTTTCCCATAGGACAAACGCGACAGTCTGCAGCCTAGCTTCCACATTCAGTGTAATCCCTGTCGCAAAGCCACCAGCAAGCTTCTTTAAATTTCCGACACCAAGATGACCCATGCGTTTGTGCCAGAGAGAGACTTCCATTACACGACAAAACCTGTGTGTTATTCGCCGCCTGGTCCAGCTTGAATCGATTGTTGGAGTGGCTCCCGGTTGCCACCAGCTCGTCGTTTGCGTTGTGCACTTTGCAGCCATCGTTGTTGAAAGTTACGGAATACCCCTTCTTTACGATTCTGCTGACCGAGAGAAGATTCGCCGTCAACCCAGGAATAAGCTGCACGTCACTCACTGCAACGTTGTCTTGAGCATCCCTGCACACCGATCGAAGATTTGCCGTCATGCCACCGTTAGCTGCAACAACCTTACCGTATGCTTGATCCAGATTTGTGAGGAGCTCTCGATTGCTCGTCATATGTGCATATGCCGCAGAATCGAAAATCCAGTCGTTCGCATCCTTCTTGCCAAACGTAGATAGAACCGTGCAAAATGTTTCGCCTTTCCTTGAATCCTTGCAGTCCCTGGCGATGTGTCCGTACCGAGCACACTTTCTGCATTTTGGGCCCTTGGATGAAGTAGGCTGCTTCAATTGCTTCGAGGTTTTTTCATGCCGTTTGTTGGCTGCGAAGGCCTGGTTAACCTGTAGAGAGTAGCTAAAGACGACTGTCTTTGGTAGTGGTTAGCATAGGCGTAGCCAGAGAGGGGCAGGGGGGGGGGGTCGACTGCCCCTCTAAACTCAGCAACACAAAGGCTTTCGGGGAAATGGCATTCGGCCAAATTTTCTATAGTAATTTTTTTTCGCCCCTCCCTAGCTCGAAACCTGGCTACGCCCTTGGTGGTTAGAGAAGAACTAATTTTATTTAAGACGTTTACAATTAAGTATAAATGTCAAGGCTTGCTTCGATTGCCAACAGCTTCGCTTCAACAATTTAAAATGTTCGGAATATATTGTGGAATGCAAGGAGGATATAATAAAATATATTTATTAAATCGTTCACCGACGCAGAACAATAATAATAAATACCACTGTTGGAAGAATAGTTGCGGATGTCGCCTGAATTAGCCGAATTCATTAACGTTTATTACCGAGTAATAGGGAGGTTATAAATTCTTTTAGCAATTCAACTTCTCTTCCACATAATACTCCGAATGCGTCTCGAGCATCCCTAGCTATACGCAGCTTTAGCGTTCACTTGTGTAGATCTAGCAGTAGTTTCTAGTATTTTTTTATAGTATAGCACTAATTTCTCCTTAGTTTCTAGACGTAGTTGTAACCTTATGTTGAATTTAGTTATTTACGGTCAAGTTATAAGCACTAGATAGATTAACATAGGT